CGACTACATTCACAGTCCTCAACTATGCCTCCATAGCCAATGCCATCTCTCACAATGACGGCGAAGACCCGCTCGCCGATTCGGTCTTCTTCACACAACACCGGCGTGCCGAGCGCAAGGAGAAGCAGCTGCGGAATATCGAAAAGGAGCGCGCCATGCACGAGAAGGTGCAATTGGAGAGGCTCCTTGACGGACTGCAGGGTCCAGACTGGCTCAAGGTCATGGGCATAACGGGCGTGACAGACGGCGAAAGAAAGGACTGGGAGGCGAAGCGCGACTACTTTGTCCGAGAAGTAGAAGCCCTCGTCGACAAGTTCCGCGTCTGGAAAGAAGAGGAGAAGCGCCTGCGTGCTGAAAAGGAAGCAGCGCTCGCCGCAAGGGAAGAAGACGAAGAAGAGGATGGCGAGGAAACAGAAGACTCGGATAACATTGTAGTCCGCAGCCGCGATCCTCCACCACCGCGACAACAACCCAAGGAGCCCGAGCCACCGAAACCACGGCGGCCGCCGCGTCCCCATGGGTTCCTCCTCCCCTTCGTACCGCCCGAACCCGCAGCGCCGTTTAGTTCTTTCTACGCGAAACCACACCTCCGCGCCGCAGCACTTGGCAAACATAGACATGGCCGCAACGCATCCGCCTTTGGTCAACCAATACCCGAGTTCGCAGAGAAAGAGTTTGAACTCCCGGAAGGTTTCATAGACCCGCAGTTCCTAAAAGACAATGCAAGGCAGCGGCGGAGACGGAAGAGGGAGAGTGGTGTGAATACAGGGGCGGGCGCGAGTGGAAATTAGTGTCTTTTCTTTCTTACAATTACAACATGGGCCGGGGTTTCCAGATTCTATACCCCTTATAAATACTGTCGAGCAAGTCGAAAGCTAGGGTTTCTTGTGGCGTTCTTTTTTGATAGGGCATGGGAGTCGTAGGTGTGGGACTAAGTGAGGGTCTCGTGCCGAGTGTATATTATCTGTGGCAATGGAATGTGAAATCGTTCCGTTCTGAGATTGGGTGTTGCGGTGCGTGTGTGTGAACTGTGGGGTTGACAGTGAAGAAGAGTGGTTTCGATTGGTACGTACTTCTGTCGTTTGGTCCAGTGCTGGTGCTGATCATCATCGTCCGGTCTTCGATTGTTCAGCCGTAGGTCTCACGTGCTCGGCTTCCATCCTTCGCGTATATAAATCAGTCTTTTCTGCATGTCTCCTCTTCTTCTTTTCAACACACAGCCTGCGAGCTTTTCTCCAAAACACACCAATGATCCGCGCATGGCTGGCTGCTTCGTCTGCCTTTCTTCAAAAGCCACCAGGAACAAGGGCATGACTTGCGGTCTGGTTTCTCGTCCTCCAAAACGACCTTCTTTTCAAAACACATCGTCACCTCTTCATGAGATTGTGTGGAGCCTCCTTCTCTCCTATTTGAGAACCAACAAAAAAACCTCACCCAATTTCCATGTGGTGCTTCTCGGATCCGCTCCTTCCAGTGCTACGAAACTAAGACATCACCAAAATTCATCATAACAGACTCGATGCCTCGTTCCTGGCCTGCGGGTTCAAAAACTCCGACATCCATGCCATGTCTCAATTCAACTTCCAATGTTGGCGAATACACATGGGTTATGCATTCGCATCGTCTTGAGCAGCTCATGGTTTGCCGCCTACCGAAAGAACACCGGGCAATATTGATGTGCTCTCGTCGCGTTTGTAGTCTGCAACCTCCAAATCATGCACTCGCATCGTTTTGAGCAACCCATGGTTTGCCGCGTACCGAAAGAACACCGGGCAATATTGATGTGCTCTCGTCGCGTTTGTAGTCTGCAACCTCCAAATTATGCACTCGCGTCGTTTTGAGCAACTCATGTTTTGCCGCCTACCGAAAAGATATAACCAGTAAGCCATGTGCTCTCGTCGCGTTTGTAGTCTGCAAGCTCCAAAAGACGGTCATGGTGGTGTGATGGGGTGCTCATGTCGCCGCCCGCTCGGTTGTAGGAAGGACGTGTTCGGCATGACCGATGGCTGGCTTAACAGGGTGGGCGGGTATATAAACCTCTCGTCTACCTTCTGTTCTCTCTTCTTCGTACTACATTTTCTTCTTTATTACCAAAAGGCTACAGGTCCAAATTCATGACTGTGCGGCTTCCTTCTGCTCTTTACAAACTACAAGAAGAACAACTTATGGCTTCTGTTGTTCCGCCCTGTTTTGCACATTCAAAACCTGCATTTGAAGAAGTCATGTTTCCACTGCCTTGTCACTAATTTACTTATCGAAAGAGCGACGAAAAGGATATATGTCGTCAGCTTGTGCCGACAGCCCATCACTCAAAGTCTTCCGCGAGGTCAATTATGTGTTGAGTCGTCTGCATTGCCTTTTCCCAAATCAAAACGGCTGAAATCACTATCATGGGAGCTTGCTTGTGCGAATTTCGTTGCATGTATTGTATCAAAAAGTAGACATGAAATGCTTGCCGCGTAAAACATCTTCCGCTACGATCTTGACGGTGAACGGTGATCAGTGAAGGATGCTTGATTGATGCATCCGGTTGATGGCTTCATTCGGAATGAATCAGGTCATCTCACACTCATCAATTCTGGCGCCTGAAGTTTTAGGTGCCGGTGCTGTTCGCCGGTAGAGGTGCGCCTGCCCAATGCGGAAGGGGCAAAGGTCGTCAAATCCCATTCTTGAAGCACTCAACTCCTGCCACCAAGCATATAAGGTTTGGCTGCGCGTGGAAGGCACATGTTTATTTCTTTTGATCTCAACAAGGTGGACTAGATAATCCACAAGGACTCCATTCGCTATTAACGTGATCCATGACATTTATTAAGTTCGTTCATGCGAAGGTATACCTGGGTAATCCGCAGCTTAATGCCCGCACAGTCTGCGTACAATTGGAATTCTCTAAAATTGAGGGCTAGCCCCTCAGGCTGACCTCGCTGCATCTGCAAGAGATACATTCATTTGGATGCGTGCATGACTTCATCTGCACATATCTGGCTTGGTCTTCAAAATGTAGTTTGGTGGTGCTCGCTTGTGGAGGGGCGCGCCTACTGAATGTGGAAGGGACAACAGTGAAGAGATCTCAGACCTCAGAACACTCACTCTCTTCCGTCCACACCCACACCCACACCCACACCCACATCCTCACCACCCCCATTGACACGTCAATGGAGGATTTCCTCGCAGATGTCGAGGCGTACCGGCTCGAACGCGAGCCGGCGCTACGACCAATAAGAAACGCAATCCGGGACGCTCCCGCGCCCGGTCCAGGGTATCCGTCTCATGACGACCTCACAAAAGCCTCACGCCTGATGGGTATTCTAAGACCAATAGATGAGGACATCAAGACCAGAGCAAAGGTCACAGAAACAGCTGATCTGATAGCGGCACACGAGCGAGCACTGAGCGAACAGAAAAGTTCGCAGGAGAGTGAACTCACAATCGCACTCGAAGAGCAGAAGCGGCAATCTGACGAAGAGCAAGACAGCGCTCTTCAGACACAGAAACAGCAGCTCGAGATCGAACTTGACAACGCGCTTCAGAAACAGCAAGCGCAGTTTGAGCAGATTCAGAATGAGCTGCAAGAGGACAAAGAAGTTGCAACATCTACCTTCAGAAGAGAGGTAGAAAGCAACGATGCCATCCTGCAGCAGTTGCTCGATAGGATCACGAGAGCTAGCCAGTCTTCCAGCATCGAGCTACCAGAAGACATCGGGCTCAGCAAGGTAGAGCAGACCGCTCTCCAAGGGAAGCTAACAGCCTCCAGAAGTTACCGAGCCGTTTTTGAGGAGTTGCGATGTCGTCTTAACATTCCCCTAGGACAGTTGCCATCGTTTGAGGAGCTTCTTTCTCAAGAGCACAACGATGAAGTTACGTCACTTCTCACGAGCCAGATGGACAGCACAGTCCAAGCCTGTAACAATACAGTCGGCGCAGAGCAGCGCCGCACTACCAATGTTCGATGCGCATCGCTCATCTCAGAGATAAACGTCACAGAGCAGGTCAGCAGCACCTCCAGAGACATGAGAGGGCAGGCAATAGCGAACGACACGTTGTCGGCCGAGGTCGCCACAAGGTTAGAGGCATGCTTGGTCGCGAAAGACCAACACATTGGTGCCCTTACAAAGCGTCTCAGATTGCAGACGCAGGTGCTGGACCAGAGACACGTCCTACTAGAGCAGCTAGCAGATGCAGCTGCAAGATCAGCAGGGTAGAGTCAACGTGTCTTGCTGATGCACTCTTGTGCGAAGAAGACCCCGTTCGTAGCTCAATTTGATAAACATTGATCCCATAGCATTCCTATTATGCAATATGAACATGATACCGTGTCTAGTAACTCCGATGTGCTGAAACAAGTCCAGCGCACCAATACATCCTCGCCCTCCCCCTTCCCGTCTTCATGCAGACGTCTCTTGATACTCGAACCCGCGTAGTTGCATTTCCAATCCCACTCCAGCCAACTCAAACACTCTTCTCAGTTCAACTGGGGCTTTCCAGTCCATCCGCTCGTAATATCTACCACATAAACTAACACCCTCCACCATCTCCAGTCCTTCTTCGACGGTCACGCTGCGCAGCGACGGAAGCTCCGACGTTTTTGCCTGTGCTAGTTCTGATAACCAACGATAGGCCGGTTCCATGTTCAGCGTTTGACCCCTGCCCGTAAGCCAGCCATGTCTTTCGCACCACCCCATACAAGAAAAAAAAACCCCGAACAGGTGTGCAGGCTACATTAAGCTAAAACCTTGCAAAGTAGGTGACCTAACGTCAACGTAGGCTCAAAGCTGTTCAATTTTTTCCTGGGTTGGCGTGGCACTAATAGCTAAACAAATCATATTACCGACCGCACGTTGAATCTTCCAGCATTACCAGAGGCTTCTAAAACAGCTTGAAACTATGATAGAATGGCCCTTACGTCTCTAGTAGCCCCGCAATCACCATCTCCATATCACATACGCGTAACAACGCCGCGCTTGATCTACTGCACCCCTGGCCCATGTATACCATAGTCCTTAGGTCTTCGAAGGCGCTTTGCGGATGAGAACTTGGCGCACGACAGAGTTACTCATCTTGTAACCCTCATGATCCACGCTCTGTTCATCCTCATAAGCCAAGATGAATTGGGTTGCTCGCTTGACCTGAAGGTCGAGGATGCCCCATTGCTTGAGTAGATCCCAAGCCGGTTGACAGTGGGTGTTCGTCTCACAAATCGGATCCTTGTAGAGAATTTTGAAGATGGCATGGTGGCTCCACTGGCAAAATGAGCAAGTGACAATGACCTTATCCTCTTTCACAGCCGACATCCAAGCTTCGTTCGCGTTGTGGACAAACTCGGGGATATCGGAAGTATAGTTCATCTGGTCGTCCTTGAACTCTTCCCACTCGCTGTTGCTCATATCAAAATCTGGGCAGTCGCAGTCATCGTCGTCGTCGCTATCTGGATGCATGCCACATTCCTCTCTATGATATCGCATCATACATTTGTTGCAGACATCGTTGCCTACACCCACTCCGAGTGCGACGTTTTCGGGAATGAGCGCAACACGCGACGACGGAGAGTGTGCATGCAAGCGTAGAATGTCAGTCAGAGCGTATCTCATTTCGTCGTCGTTGCCATGATCCCATAGGAGCTGTACCAGCTTCGGCATGTGCTTGGGTTCGTTCTCAAATCGTAGAAAGGTGTCGAGGAAAGCGGCTACTTGGCTGGGCGCTGAAAATGCAACACGAAGATTGCGAACCCAGAGAGGACGATACTCCGTGCGAACTTGTGTGCAGACTTGAGTCAGAGCGAAGAATTTCCAGGGACGCATTGACCGTGGCTTCCGAGGATACTGTAAGGCGTTCTGTACAGGCCGTGGAGCAAAGCGACTGGATTCATCTTCTTTGGCATATTCGTAGACTCGGTTCCGTAGCTCTGCACAATGTTAGCACATAATAGTCACTTCGAAAAACCAAGAAGCCATACCTGGAGAAAGGTCGAGGAAGCGGAAGTACTGAGGAGCTTCGGTTGCGGGCGCCTCATTCTTCGCGGGCTTCGCAGCCGTCTTGACAGATTGCTTCGCTTTCTTGGTGACTTTCTTGTCTACGGCTTCACCGCTTGCGCGCTTGCTGCCGGATCGTCTGGAGTGAAGTCAGTATACAATCCCTTGAGTGCGCGACGAGTAAAAGGGAAAACTTACGTAGTGGGCGCCATCAGTATCCTTGCAACCAGTGGCGATGCTTGCGAAGCGGTGGAGTTAGGTTCAGAGTGACTTGAGCAGTAGAAGGTGGGAGTAAACAAGTAGAGAAGGTAAGAGCACCCGCCAAGAGCCGCTAGTGGAATGACGCAGGTACGCAGTGACACCTCATACAAAGGAAATACTAAACAGGTCTGCAGACTACAGTAAGATAAGTGCATTTAAAGTGGGTGGGTTAACATCGATGTAGACCCTAGGGTGTTCACTTTTTCCTGGGTTGACGTGGTGACATGTTCCACAACATTCCGTCTGGGTAGAACATAGGCAAGAGCGCGTGGAACATTCACCTTGGTTCTCCCAAAACGTCGCATGAGACAGAAGTGAATCGCGTTCTGCTTGCTCAGCATGCGCTTGCAACAGCTCGCTCTCGTCCGCTCGACAGGTATACCTGCGACGACCAGCTACTGAGCACCCTTGCATTTGGAACGTGGATGTTAGACATGATAAAGTTGACGTAATAAAGATGTGATTTTGTATGTTACACTATTTACAAGGCGATTATCTGCCCTGGCCCTTGGACTTTCCACCAAAGCCAGGACCGCGCTTAGCTCCGCGACCCTTGGCGAGCTTGACAGTGAACGCACCACGCTCGATGGTGTTGACCAGGATGTATCCAGAGGGGAAAAGGAAGTGAGACCAAGTACCAACGAACTGAACGATACCGCCAACAGAGTCATCCTCGGGGTAGATGTCGAAGAAACCCTCGGTCTTGACGCCCTTTCCGGTGGGGTCCTTGCTAATGCTGCGGACATCGTGTACCCAGATACCGGCACCGTAGTTGCTCTGGTAGGCGAGGCCGTCGACGATGTAGAGATTGTGGTCGATACCCTTGCTGTCGGTAGCGTAGAATGTACCGGTGGCCTTGGGGTTGCGGAGGTCGGTGAGGTCGATGATGTGGGTGACGGGCCGGCCGGACGCAGCGGGACCGACAGCTTCCTGCTCATCAAGCTCGTCGTTCAGAAGGACGTACTGGTGCCAGTTGCGCTCGGTCCACCATCCTTGGTGGCAGTAGGTAGCACCGGGGTAAGAGAGGGTGGAGATGACCTCAGAGGCAGGGTTGCCGTTCTTCATGGTGGAGTCGTAGACGGTCATGGTGTCCTCGTTGTAGCCGATGCAGATGTTGCGGCCGCGGAACTTTCGGTCGGGGCCGTTGTAGGTAACACACTGGGCATCGTGAACGTATCCGTCCTGGCTAGCACAACCGGGAGAGGTTGGCTTGCTAGGGTTCTTGAGGTCGATGTACTGGAGACCAGCCTTGCAGGTCTGGTTTCGGGGCTGGGCACCGACAGCGAGGATGTACTCGTTGTCCCAGTCAACAACCACGTTGTGGGTGCGGCCGATGGGCAGTTCGTCGAATAGACCAACGAGATCGGCCTTGGGGTCGAACGTCTTGGGGGTCTTTGGGTCGACCTCCAGAAGCTTCTTCATGTCGAAGATCTGAACGTTGTGACCAACGGCCTCGGAGCCGATGATGACATAGTCGTTCAGGACACGGATCTCGCGCCATCTTGAACCCACGCTTTGTGCGGGGAGACGACCCATGTACTGGATCTGGCCGTCCTTGAGGATCTCAACGAAAGCAGCACCAGAGAACTGGCCTACGATACCGAATTCGCGGCCATTGCGAGCGGTCCAGCCCCATGAAGAGCTACCCTGACCTTCAGGGCCTCCCATGTCGGCGTGGTTGACAAAGTCGTATAGGTCCATGTTGTTACACCTGAACGTCTGGTTCGCATTGCCCTGCTCGACGATGGCGAGACCATCCTTGCATTGAACACGCTTGGCCTTGTCGGGTCCATGAGGTCCCTTCTTCAAGCTCTTGAAAGACTTCCACTGCTGGGAGTCCTGCTTGCCTTGGGCTGCGTCAACTTCCCATTGATCCTAAAAGATGTAAGTAAATGACCGTAAGGCGAAAGACGCAAAGTATGAACATACACTCTTCAACTTCATCAACTTCTGATGAATGGCGCCAGAGGCATACTCCGACTTGGAGTAGTGCGCAGCCTGGACCGCAACCGGGAGTGCCAACACAGCGAGTGAGAACTTCATCTTGAGGAGCTAAGAGAAGGATTGAGCTGGAATGAGCACATTTCCTATGCACTTCAACAGGTATATATATGAGTGTGGTACCCTCATGGTGCAAGATCTCGCCCTCGACCGTTGCCTTGCCACACGACCATTCAGTACCATCTTACCGTCTTGGTACAGCAATATACTCTGGGCATCCGTTGGCATCCATACTCCATGCGGAAGGTCAGGACTACCATTCCGCTAACTGAATAGGGAAGGTGTCTCTACACTTCTTGAGTGGAGTACTGTTGCCAAGCAGCGAAACTCGTATACACATGGTGCGCCACAGATATCCGGCTTGGTACTCTCGGGACTATCAAGAGGGGGCCGCGGGAAAGGAGCGAACATCAGTGCCACGGCCCGCTAGCGGAGTCCAAGAACTTCCAAGGCGTCTGGGCATGCGGACCAATATACAACACCTGGACGAGAGGCGTTCGCAGCCAGACTCTAGAGGAGATAAGAGGAAGGAGATTGTAGAAAAGGGAATGTGCGAACTTAGTCTGCGGATGGTGGTGCTCGGCGGCGTCGAATCTTGAGTTGTACCTACCACGAGCGGAAAGCGTCCGCGCCGAAGAAATGCCTACGCGATATACAGTAGAGCGCGAGCGAGACCAGGAAAGGCCTTCGTTCTCGCTGCGAATGAGCGAGAGAAGGAAACAATTATTGCGCAACTCCGACAGGGGTGAGAGTCAACAAGCGCATGAACGTCGTGATAGGCAGGGGCAAGCAGACGCTGGGCTTGGGGATGCGCGCCGTACAGAGGCCACAATAGCTGTCACTAGAAAGTAAAGTCTATTCGGAAATGCACCGAATTTGAGTACCGATGGTTAGCAAACGATGCACGAATGTTGAGATGTCGATGTCGCGGTTCTGATGTGTGAGGGGGAACGAGACACGCTAAGATCGAGATCAATATTACGTCATCACATTGCGACGCGACGCGACGCGAACGCGCTTGCCTCAACCTTCGCGTTCGAGGCATCTCTGCCTAGCTGATGTTTGCCACCGCACATATGCGGTGAAGCTCTTGAAGCTCATTATCAAAACAATATCGATCAGAGTTGCACTCGTATAGCGACGCGTCGGCGACTGGCCACCTTCCTGCTGTCGCAATCCGACAGAGGCGCGCCTAGAACATGTGTAGGCAAAGCCGAAAACGATACTGGTAACGCGGTGATTTGCAACCATTAGACATTATTACCAAATTAATTACTTGTAGAAGACACACCTTCATATGACACACCAGGCCCAAAACGCAGCCAGGTCAATAACAAGACTCTGGTACAGACCGAAAGTTACAAACAACTTGATGTCCTCCCCATCTTAAATCTCGGCCTGAAATATACGTAACGACTCTCCATACCAGACCGGCCTTCAGAAACCGCATCTACAGCCTCGATACCTGGGCGCGACCTTGGTACCAGCCTCTCCCACTTGCGGTGGTAGATACAATGAGAGATCGCTTGCACCGGCCCTAGGATCGTGGAACGCCTCTATCGGAACATGGCAACACTTCAGCTTCGGAAAATCTCGGAAAGATCCAAGGGTATCGTTCTCTCGACCGCCGGGATACACCAGGTCCAGGATGTCTTCGTCACTATCGTCCGTCACATATACCGCTTCTACAGAGTGTCGGTGTCTCCTCAGCGCATCACCCAGAAGTTTCCAGGAGTGCTCAGGCCAGATTGACAAAGGATTGCCTTCTGCGGCGAATGGCTCCCACCTCCCGGTACTGCGGTCGTATCCAAAGCTGTGAAGGGCCTTGAGCGTGAGGAGCATTTGTGCGATAACAGCAATGTCCATCATTGCATCAACCAGGTGAAGTTTTCGAATCGAGCTACTCGACTCGGGGACCGACCAGTTCTCAACAGGTGTTGTTTGACATATCCCCGCGAGGACAAGTGTTTCGAGGGATGGAAGACGGAACACACAGGAAAGTTCCTCCATCGAGAGGTTGCAGGAAGCGATCTTGAGCTCCTTAAGATTAGCAAATTGATTGACATGGCCACCGACGGGTCGTGTAACAGCGCTGTTCAACATCTGCAACCATTTCGGTGTATGCGCGGGCCGGTCAAATCGCTCCGTCACGTAGAACTCTTGGATGTCGTGGGCATTGGCCAAGATCTTGTTGCATGCGTCCTTGTTGACGTTTTCCCCGCCGAAGAAGATACTAATTTTGCGGATGTGCTCGGAGAGGAGATGGTTGCTGACCATCGCCGCCACTTTCTTATAGTTTGTCGTAGAGCCTGAGGCACATAAGGTCTTGTACATCACCACCTCCGCGAGTCGTTTGCAGAGCTTGTCTGTACGACACAGCTTCGAGAGTGCGTGGTCACGGCCGACTTCCTTTACATGCTCCATGATCTTCAGGAGAAGTTCCTCCGGTATGCCACCAAGACACGCTTGTGGGTTCTTGAGTACGACAGGGAGATCTGGACTACCGGGGCCATCATCGGTGGCGGTATGGGTGACCTTGACGGATATGGAGACGGATCGGGTACGCTTAGCCGAGGCGGAGACGTGCGAGAGTGAAGCCTTGCGCTTTTGCGGCGTCGAGACGGTAACTGGCGTCATGGCGATGGCCGGCCCTGGCGGATTGGCACCTACCGCGTCGATGTAGGCTCCGGGGTGAGGTGTACAAGTGTCGTAAGGGGTACAATTAATCTGGCAAAGCTGTACAGTCGAAGAACGCCCGCGTGGAAAGAATTGGCCGCCGACACGAAAGTGAGTGGTCGTGGTGGTGAGAGGAAGTCAAGAACTCGGAACACGAACGAGAAGGAAACAACAACAAAACGCGTCGATGCGCGCCCTTCACACGCGTCACCTGATGCATGGCCACTCACGGTGAGGGCCCTGAGTGCGCGCGCAGGTGCGAGAGGAATGTGCCGCTCTGGCCAATCGGGAGCGTCACTACGGAGGTGTGAAGCGGAATATTCACCTCACCGCCGTCCGTCTGGCGTTTGAAGAGTGCATAATGTGCGCACGCATGGCCAGGTCATTGGGAGAATGAGTATGTGAAGTGGGTGTGGTATTGACCGCTAATGCATTAGGCATACCGATGTCGCTGCTCAGAGGACACCTCAATGAGTATCCCTCCGCCATATGTTCAGAAAAGAAAAAGAGGACATTTAGCAAAAGGCAAGGCGGATAGCCAAATATCTTGGACCCATGCTAGCTTTTCTGCCCAGTACTCTCCGGTTCCACGAACATATACGGGTTGATCGCGGTCATTATCATAACTCTGGAGCGCCAAACTACCAATTGCTCCAAGCTGCTCTTCGGATCTTTCTTCGAGAAAATCACCTACTCGAACTTCTCCCGCCTCTACTCCCATGTACATCATTCTGAAATGAAACCTTCCAAGCATATATGGAAGCAATGCAGTTTCTGTATGAAGCTGACGAGAGGTGAGCAGTAACGCTAAGTCGTTCTCTTTGGCTGAGTTCCTTGGTGTCGTCCAGCCGGTGAACGTCCACTTGTTGTCGCCGAACACGTAGGCGTATATTATGTTCCGTAGCTCGCCTGGTAAGCGGAGAAGAGGCGAATTAGTCGCGTTGGCTTCGGTGCTACAAATGATACATTAGCTTTCGAAATGGCAAAAGCTGGATGACTTACATCTTGTCGCGTGGAGCTCTTTCGCGGAGACGTCGAATCGCTGCCCTCTCTTCAGCACCCTCAAAGCGCCGCTTCTTTGCTGGGGGCTGGCCGTTCAGACGAGAAGGCATTGTTGAGCACTTTCGTGACAGCTTGGTGTGTTGTGCTGTGTGTGGTGTAATATGGGCGAGGGGGTCGGTTGAATGTGGAGGGGAGTAGAAGTGGGTTGGGAGCAGACTGCCAGACTGGTATAGGTGCGGCATTCTCTACTAAGCTAGTGGCTGCTGAGAGCGACAATGGAGGGTCACGGATGTGATTGACATTTGCCAGGTTTCACCGTCCCTCGCTACCTCATTCCTTCACTTCGAAGCTTCCCCAATGCAGACATACGGTCGCTCTCTCGTTCTGACTCAAACAGTTCAGCTGAGATCCGATTCATGTTGTCTGCAGCGACCCACTATATCCTTCCAGTGAGTTTCTGACGAAGCTATCAAACATCCAATCTCTTGGTCCAGACCAGTCCGGTCCCGCCCCAATACCAACGCCAACTTCTCCCTCTCGGCTCGCGAGCTTGTAAGCATACGATCGCTTCGACCTGTTGCATGGATCTCTTCTTGAGAAACCCTCGAACGAATGGCTCACAAACCCGGTGTACATAGCCCGGATGGAATTGGAAATCGAATGTGCCAAGCTCATACGGGAGCATACCGGTTTCGGCGTAGGTCTGACGGGACACAAGCAGAAGACTCATGTTCATTTGCGTGAATGTCTCTCCACAAGTGACCGTGTGATCATCCCTTTCTAAGAAAAGATAATATTGGCCACGAAAGACGTAGGTGAATATCATGCTTCTGAGCTCGGCCGGAAGGCGAAGAAGAGGTGAGTCGATGGAGTTGAGCTCGGTGCTGTAATAGTTGTCAGGCGGACCAGGCGCATAGCTTGTGATGGTACTTACAGCCGATCGAATGAACTTGAATCTCGACTCACCCTCTGACGGGCTCTCTTGTCGCGAATCTCTTTTGCGGATGCTGCAGTCGCCGGGGATGGCGCTTTGCGCTTTCGTGGTGCCATGATGAATTGGAATTGGGGTGCAGAAAGCGAGGTGGTCTTGTGACAAGGCTGCGTCGTAGAAGGTGAGAGCACCTGGGCGGTCCATTTGCTGAATGTGGCTAGCGTTGTTTGACTAGCTGCCGGCGGAGGGCAGGGTGCACCGCCTCGAGTCGCTCATCCGGAGATCTATATCGGATTTGACCCTTCATTACAGTTCTCCGGTCGCCATGTAATGTTTCACACAGCAAGACTTGGAAGAGATGAGCTGCGTTCGCCGGAGAATCAAGTACTAGGGGCATTCTCATCATTGTATACTCACATGTCTTTGACTGAAAGGAAGGATGCTAATGTAGTGACCAACTGCAATGGTCAGAATACCCATAGATTTGTAACTCGTTGAATACCACCGCATGTATCCATGGACGCTCTCCTAACGGTCTCAGATTTCCCCTATTCTTCGTCTATACCATTCCGGACACAATGCCTTCACATCATTCTTAGCGAATGCGTCAGCCCATTGCACCCCAGTACCCCAATATGGCCTATCGTGTCTGGTCTCAGGATCATATCCAACGACTTCAAACTCCTCGCCCATAGCTCTAAGCTGTTCCTCCGATCTCCTGCCGATGAAAGCCCTCACATAAACTTCCCACGGAGCTTCCGGCCTGTGGAGAAAAAATTGAAATAACCCAAGTTTATATGGAAGCAACGCGGTTTCAGCGTAGAGCTGACGAGATGTGGCTACTAAGCCGAAATTGCACCTATGGAACGAGAATATCTGACCGGGATCGAAGTCATTGTCGTTGTTATGAACTACAAAGCCGCAGGCTGTGCTGCTAAAGACGTAGGTATAGATTGTGTTGCGTAGCTCGGCGGGTAGGCGGAGGAGGGGTGAGTTGGCTGCGTTGAGCTCGCTTCTACGTAGTACATCAGTTTTGCGTTCGTGAGATTAGGGATTGAGGCTCTTACAACTGGTCGCGACGAGCTCGACATTGAGGAGTGTGGGTGTCTTCAAGAGGGCGGGATGACGCGTACGTCGCGGGTCTAGCGTAGACTCGGTTGTAGAACGAGTCTTGGGGGGTTTTGAATCTCCAAGATGACATGTTGTGCTGCGTTGGGGGCGTATGTGTCAGTGGGAAGAGTACTAGTGGAAGGAGAGGAAAGGGGGTAGAATACAAGTAGTGTAAGTAATATTGTCAATGTGGCATACAAAGGCTCACTTCAACCGATGGCTAGCCGAAAAGTTGAGTGAACTTAGGAGTAGAGCAATCGATCAGAGAGACTTCTTTGTCGTTCAATCTTACAATTCCGTTGTTCTTCGGCTGCGTTGTGTCAACGCGAAGGCACGTTGAGTGAAATTAACACTGTTTGGAAGAGACATCGATTGGCCGACGAAGGGCATGTAATGTGAATTGATCGAATGGACTAGTGGCAACGTTGCTGCTCCGGTTTGATGTCAGACTGCCGCAGTCTTGGTACGCCAGCTCAAAAAGCTGATACAAATATTCAGTGAATGACCATCGAACACTGACTTCTGGTTGCGTCTTCGCGGAGGGCACGTTGCCGCAGGCTGTTGAGTGCATGATGCTAGATTGTTCTCCAAGATCTTCTCCATACTCACACTACTCATTGCGATCACCAAAATCACAGGTGCTCCAGACTTCGGTGGAGCCTCGCATGAGCTAACCCCGCGAAGGCCTGATGCTGCAAGATAGAGCGCCATAGGTTCCTGCTGCTTTGGATCTCGAAATACTGCGCTGACCTCTTATGACAGAAGCGCCGTCATGCGTCGCCCGTGACTCTAAGCACACAAATGGTGACATGCATCTTCAATACTGAAGAGTAGTACTTCCAAGGCTCGAATGTATCGCGAGTTGTTTCCCCCACTTAAGCTCATCACTATGGTCGTAGCGATGCTGCGACCCGGTCTTCCGCAATCTTTATAGTATCGACATCGCTGTTCGTGCGAGGGCCAGTGTTTGTGCGATTGCGAACTGGTAGGAGATCTTCGCGTCGAGCGAGGCGTATGCGACGATGCTGGTGGCGTTCGAGGGAGGGGATGTCGACAACATCGGGCGTGGACAGCTCCTGTGAGCGTGCGGAGGCACTCTGGTAATTAGCAGAATTCTACATAACTTTGGAAGGTATAGGCATTGTATCGTGATGGTTGAATGACTACGAGAGCTTGACGCGTCCACGCGTCCGCGGGTGGAAGATACAGGCTATGACGCAAACGGCGAGCTAAACTTCATTGGGGCATATGTTGATCATTTCCAGATGCGTCATAACTCTGGCGCACGAATCTCATCTCAACTCCGCTTGTTCGTCCTTTGATCTATCGACATTGTCCAAATGAAGCTCATAACCTTTCATTTGATCACCTTGACCTCCGTTCGCAATGTGGCCACTTACTGAAGACGTGGTTTGCACTTCTCAGTAACAATGCCGATCATATCGTTGCAGCTCCGAAGGGAACAAGTGGACGTCTCACACGGCCTCGGCGATTGACTTAGCTTTCCTTATTTTGTTGTGTCTGGTCTTGTACAGATACCATGCACCGACGGTGAGCATCGTCAACGGCACTGTCGTTACCACGAAGATCCAGAACTGAGGGCTCGCCTGTAAGGAGCCGTCTTCGCCTTTGAAGTCGAAAAGGTTCATACCGAGGAACGACTAAATCTACAAGTCAGAACGTTTAAGCATATACTCGAGTATGCAGCCAACTTACAGCCATGAACGAAGCAGGTAGATATATCAGAGTGAAAACAGTGATGACCTTAACGGTAGCGTTATCGTCAACGCCTTCCTGTGTTAATCGCAGTATGCGCGTGCTTATCTCTCTCGAGTTTGCCTGATTCTCAATATCGAGAAGATTGGTCAGCTGTGGATGTGTTAGTGATGTCGTTTAATTTGCGACTTCCCTTCTCCTACCAATCCCAGTGTAGCTTTTACACGTTGTGCAAGAGTATCTGCTACATCGAGGTGGCTTTCTAAGCGATGTTCCATGATTTGCAATTCCCGATGCACGCTATGTGATGATTCTCCCAGTAATGGAATATTGGTCGCAAGTGTTGTGTTGATACTCATCAAGGTCTGTACAAGAACAATGTTGCTGCGGAGACATTTGCATGCTTTACAAACTATCTTATCTTCGATGAGCCGAAGTGTTTGGAGGCGCTCAGGATTGATGGCAGGATTGGCATCTGACTCGCAGATTTCGACAACATCAATACGTCGTCGCTGTTATCTGTGAGCTTTGCATGTATTGGATAGAGCATTTGCTTACTATCTGCTCCAGGTCACTCGCGAGGCTTTCTAGATAGTCTTGCCAGTATGCCATGTATGACAATAGGATGACGAGATGGACGGTTAATGGATGTTGTGTCAACTGTGCTGTATTCGAAGACTCGGCCAGTGCCTCCAGCTTTGACTGCGCCACAGCCTCGTCGTTGGGATGGATCACAACAACCTGACTACTACACCTTTCGGATGAGAATTTGTGCGTAACACCCGTTTGCCTGAACGACCAGATATCCCGTGGTGGCCGCTTCCCGTTTCGTTCAACATACATGAACTGATAACATAGCTCTGGGAGATATCAGTCAGCTTACTTCGTATCAACAATTGATCATATCATAAGGTAACTGACGAACTTACCAAAAGATCCATCCACTGATTGAAACAACTGCCGAAATCCCGAGGACTCATGAAAGATCTGAGGCTGATCACCGAACTTCAAAAGGACGTCTACAAACATGCTGGAGATTTGCCAGTTTTTCATTACAGTCAGCATCGCTTCCTTGGAGCTCATCAAGGGAGACAACGAGAACTCCTGGCAAAAGGAACTTTACTTCGCGTTAGCCTCATCATAAAGTCTTAGAGACTGGTCACGTACAGAATCCGATAGTCATCGTCACTGGTTTTTAGGAGGTGGTCTCCAAGCTCTAACAAGTCTTTCGGACACAAGACTGCATTCTTCCGTGTATCTGCATTGTATAAGCATGCTTCTCCTAACTGAGATGTTTGTGGAGAACACTGGCTTACCCATACGGAGAAGGCGCACCTGGAACGGCCCCATGTCATCAAACAGCCGTTCCTGGTTGGCACATATGCGCTGCAATGGCACTTCCCAGTCGTCAAAAACTTCATTCCTGCTAGCGAACTCCATGTGCGGTTGTGTAAGAAGACCGAGTGAAAGCTATTGAGTTGTTGTAAGACTCGTCGAGGGGCGCTCACAGGCTAAAGAGATAAGCTCAAACACCCACAAGGCTGAGGCAGTGTACGCCTTTCCAGGTTGCTGCGGCCAATAGGAACGCTTGGGATGACCTTGTCTCCACGCAAAGTCACTATCTGCCTTGATCGCTTCTTCCTAAAACATCAGACTGGCCCGCCACCTTTCTCAAAGTCTGCCTCCCTTTTTCTGCCCCTATCGGGACTGCGAACTTCCTCGAGGCCATGTCATATGACAGCTGTTCTGAATCTGACCACACGATTTGTTTCATAGTTGTAATCGAAAGCCTACGTGCCACCACATATCTCATCTAGAGGAACAAGGCTCTCCTGCCACGATTTCCCAAAAGTGTTGGTTCGAAACCGGTGAAGGTTTGCAAAGTGCGATTGGGAGATTGACCGGGTCCAGTGAATTACGTAACTACTCATGACGTAGCGCCAAGACCACCAACAAGCCAATCTGCGGCTGTAGCCTGACACCTTCATCTATCACACATTCTTCTTCTTCAAAGCGCTACACACGTCAGTCAGGACTTTGGAAGTTTGTGTCTTCTGGAGAAGGCTCACCGGAGGGCTGTCTGTGTTTCATGCAGTCAGCATCCGTGTTGGTTGCGAAGGCGGACTATGCGTATGCACATACCTCGGGTACCTCCTCAGGTGCGTAGAATTCCCACTTCTTGCGTTTTTCCTTGGTCACTCAGCCTCGTAGGTATATGCGCTTTGACATGCGGGACGTACTACGATAGCAAACTCATCCATAGGCGAGACATCAGGGAACCTGTCGTGCAAGAAGATTTCCAACTTCTCTTTTGTTATGTATCCCGAAGTCTTCTCTTCAACAACATTGTGTACCGGTTGACGAGGCATATCAAATTTATGGTCGGCGCTCAGAGGGCAGTAGGCAATGTGTCTGGCGAATGATCAGGCGAGGCTGATTCGGAGTGCTGACTATTCGAGAAATCAGCCTTGCATACTAACGTTGGACAGTCAAATGAGCGCATATATATCAAAACACGGCGAACAGAGCCTCAATCTGCTGAAGGTACTGTCAAATGTGCTTCGAGTGTGCATGGCATGAAAGCACGTCGCTGCAGCAAGCAACAGGAGGACTGTGGATGCCGATTGGCTGACCCGCATCAGGCTGCATAATTGCTTTTTCCTGGCGTTTTCAGCTCAAGCAGCCCGCGATGCGCCTGCCATTTCCGGCGGCTGCTGTTCATACGACGTGCCCCGAACATCGTATTGAGCCTTGTAGGCCGAGTCACAGCCAATCATATATATCGGTCCTACACCACACTTCATGCATAAGTTATCGTGGAGGCGAAGCCTATGAATGAGGGCGATAATGTGGCATCTGACATCTATACGGCCGCTTGTGATTGGGTCCAACGGCTTTGGCATCGCGGCACTGCGGAGCAAAGGACAAGATGGCAGCGGAGCGTGCGTTGAGGCTGACGGCTCCGGAACCATGACTTCTAAAGAGCGCACCTCCCCTGAATGTAGTGCTTCCACGCATTAGGTTCGTAAGACGTTACTCGACTGTAGCCTGTACTACCTCGCCAACTTCCATCATGGGCCAATGCTTCTCACGCTTGTACCGGAAGCATAGTATATTTGCGGGGGTAGCACCCAGAGCCTTCCCGACGGCACGAAAATATCAGCGCCAGCTTGAACACACAGACGCAGATTCCGCCCGTGCACAATCGGAAGAGCAGTTCGACACTCGGGCCACCAGCAATGGAACTCTACATGCGAACCCGCAATCTGTCGATATCGACACGATCAGAGACGACATCTTCGATGTACTAAAGGCCGGAATGGTTGGCAAGAAAAGCGAGGAAATTATACTTCCCGAAGTTGTTAGCAAGATATGGGCGCAAAACCATCACCGCAAGTTCTACATCAGTCAAACATGGTATGACCCGGAGTGGGACAGGACCAATTTCATGGATGAGATGATACAGATCATGTCAATTTTGATCTGCATCAATTTCCGCCATTGGGACCGGTTTGGCGCAATTTTCGTCGGGCACAGGGATCGACGGGATCAAAACCTTCCTTTTCACTTGAAAACACTGCAGCAAGAGGGCTTCTTGGGAAGATCTGAGGGGGCGATGTTCCACGAGAACCAGTTCGCGTTTTGTCCTATTCCAATCCCAGAGCAAGAGGATGAATTTGTACTGAACAACGAAGAGCGGCTTCCCTGGATCGACGAACCAAAATTGATAGGGGAAGGCGGCTTCGGACAAGTCAACAAGCGAACAGTCGCGAAGGGATTTTTGCGCTTTCAAGATCGCACCACCAATGTGGAAGTAAGTTAATGCCGCCTAAATGAAGTGTTCCACGCGTCGCTAACCTTTGCATTAGCCCAGAGCTGTTGCTGTCAAGACATTATCCGGAAAGGATGCACAGCAAGGAGAGTTCAACAACTTGAAGGAGCTACGTCAATGCCTTAGTGATAATACACGGATCATGGTCAATCTCGTTACGATGGTCGAAAAGTCAGACCGGAATGACATTTATCACATTGTTTACGAACTGGCCGCGTACGACCTCAATGTATTTCTGACCAAGATGCGCCACAGACTGAGAAAGAAACGTCACGCGACAGCCACACCAGAAAGAACAGGTTCCGCCAACATGTGGCCTGGCGATCTGATTTCAGAAAGCGTCAATCTCGCCGACGCATTGGACTACCTGCATAACCGGCTTTACTCCACCAAGCTACATTCGTCGCTCTCCCATAACGACATCAAACCAGAGAACATCCTAGTGGTCTATCCTGAAACAACCACTAAGAATGAACTATACCCTGTGGGACAGTGGAAACTCGCTGACTTCGGGCTCGCGGTGATCAAAATCAAGAGATTACCTGAGGGCCCCAGCAAATACTTGGGTGCAAACAACACTTTGTTGGTTCCTTCACACTCACAGAAGACGCACAGAACCGAGAGACAGAAATCTGTGTCCAACGCCGTACCCGAGAGAGATCCGGGTATGTACACGGCACCGGAATTGGAGCAGGAGACTCCACAAAAAGCGGACTGTAGGAGTGCGGATGTATGGTCTTTTGGATGCGTCCTTTCCGAGATCGTCACCTACGCTGTCAATCTAGACCATCATCATGTCAAATCCTTCCGCAAGTCACTCGAAAAGAGCATCCCGGCGGACCCCAAGTTTTATAATCAAACTTCCAAGGATGTCAAGCCTGAGTTCATCAAGCATCTTTCCAGCCTACCGGACACTGCTCAGAAAGCGACGCGTATCCCGGCAGACGTTATATGGACGACACAGTGCGTCGATCTGATCAAAAGGATTGTAGTCAAGGAGCCCGGCAATCGACTCGACCCAAGCGACATCCGACTAGGGCTTAGCCAGATCGCGCATTCTATGCACTCCGGGAGAGAAGAATGGCTAATCCATAGCTTACCTCCGCCACTAAATGTGAACATAGGTGCTGCCACTGCGGACAGCGCGTCTTCTGCCCCAACAAGTGCTGTGTCTCAAAGTCCGACTGAGTATCACGATCCCGAACACGATCACGAAAGAGACGACTTACTTAGTAGGATACCGAGTATCACCATTCATCCAGTGGAACATACAAGCTCAGACCCTACAAGGGCTCCACATCTGAAAGAGAACGAGAAACGGAGAGCGTCGGCGCCTAGATGAAGTACGGAAGGTTTGCATTGTACTGTAGCTTTGCGTATTTTCACCCCGGGATGTATCAACATGGAGGGCTGAGTAGAAACCGCGTCTTTGTTCATTTCTTCTCCAGACATTGCTATTATCCCTTCGAGATCGCGTCTGACAGGTATCGCAATGCTACCTTCAGCTTCATCCAGTTCACTCTTCTACTTATTTTCTAAGCAACGCCTTCCCATAGACACCCTGTTCATCTTCCTGTAACAAGATATGGATTATCCCAAGCCGACTTACCATGATAGTAACGATCACCTCCTGCCTGCTTACCGAGTTGGCAAACCACCATGTTCTTATCGTCCATAACCAGCTCTTGTTCCCTGGTTCTGTTCTCCATAAACCTCTCCACAGAGTATGACCATTTGCCCTTGGAAACCCTGAACTCGAAACTGAAGAAGCCGAGCTCATACGGGAGGAGGCCTGTCTCGGCATGGAGTTGGCGCGACGCAGCGATGAGACCCAGATTACATTGGTCGAACGAGTCCAGGCACTGAGTCTCGGGATCCTCCCAGCAGTATTCGTCAAATGTATACTCCATGCCGGTGAAGACGTAAACGAAGATGACGTTCCTGATTTCGGCCGGCAGGCGAAGGAGGGGTGAGTTGAGAGCGTTGAGTTGAGTGCTACAATGTCTTCTTAGTTGACCATCTTGATTACATAGGAAACTGGCATGCATACATCTTATCGCGGCGAGCTTGGCCTTGAGGAACGTCCTCGCGAGGAACTTCATTTGGGAGAACCTTTTCGCGAAGGATCTTTTCGCGCACTGCTTCCCTGCGTTGAGCTCGGATATCGCGCGTCTTCTTTTCGTTAGATGGTGCGTCGGCACAAGGCTTTTGTACGCGCTTCCGAGGCGCCATGACGGTAGGTATGCTGTTGAGGTGTCAATAATGTTAAGAATGGCGTCGTTGAACGGGGGGATGAAGGAAACTTCACAAGATGCAATAGAATGCGTGATGGCTCTATACTTGGTTCCTATCCACTCCAACCCATGGTACTGTACTGATGCAGAGCGGGATGGGCCACTCAGAACTTCCGAGATCCATTACACGCCCACAAAGTTGAAATTCCACGGACGAGAAGTAGGGCTGACATAAGAACTTGCGCTATTCGCGGAAAATTGATTCAAGCGGATGGAGTGTATGTGGCGTGTATTGATCGACTAATCTGCCGCCAAATAACTGGTTCGAAGAAGTCTCCTGAGGCTGTAGTATACATGATTCGATCTTAACAGACGGTCGCTCTCTTGTCCTGGCAGAATAGCACAGGGAAAGATCCGATTCATGTCGTTCACATAAGACCAAGTAGCTTGTTCTTCAACAAGGACTCTTCCGAATCACCACTCACGCAATTCCTTCGACCATTCACCCCCAGTTCTCGTCTCATTGGAGATTATGTCACCCGTATAACTCACAGTGACTTCAATCTTAGCGATTGCTTCCATCTGCTTTGCGGATCTACCACGCAGGAAATCTCTCAGTGCAATGCAATGCCCATACTCGCAATCTGGGTCGTATTCCCCATACGGGCAGTCTTCAGTGACGTCAAGATCAAATTTGAATACGCTGAGTTTGTAGAGAAGCAATGAAGTCTCGTTGTAAAGTTGGCGGGAGGCGAGAAACAATCCAAGATAGTTGCCTGGTCCTTCGCCATCATAACAGCAGCCGTTGAACACGTGTTGATCGAACTGGTAGCGGGTACCTTCGAAGAAGTAGTCGTAAACGATGTTGCGGATCTCAGCAGGGAGACGAAGGAAAGGTGAGGAAGCCGTATTGAATTCGGTACTGCAGCCATACGTTAATTATTGAACATGTCTTGTGAAACGGAGGACTTACATGCTGCTGAGAAGATTCTTCTGATGAAATCCTTTGGCGGCGATTGCCTTGTTGCGGACTGTTCCATCAAGAAGCTCTTGATCACGACGAGCTTGATCGCGAAGATCCTGCCCGTGCTGGGCTTGATCTCGGACCGATGCTCTCTGGCGAGCCCTATCGTCGCGCTGCTTGTTGGAAGAGGGCGCCTGGGCTGGAGACTTCGCTGAGCGCTTGCGAGACGGCATGTTGACGTGGGTGGAAACGACGGCGATATTGGGAATTGAGTGAGTGAAGTGAGTAGAACAGTGTAGTTACAAGGTGGTGGAGTGCGCGAGAGCTCGCTAAGACGACATGTAAACACCTACGCACCTCGGTTGCTAGGCCACCATACTGAGTAAGAACGCCAGGTCGGATCAGTTGAGAACGCGTCATGCCAAATGCATACCTTGCAACCAGCCTTGCGCCATGTCTTGAGACCCCATCAGCAGAAACAGAAATACATCACCTGCCATGTAGCAGCTCTGCTTACCGCGTCTTACTGCAAGGTGTAGTTACCAACTTCATGATACACATGTCAGAGGAGCCGTGCATGACACCGCTTTTCGACTTCAACGACCATTTCTACGCAGTTGACCAGTTACGAACGTTACTGCTCTTACCAGCTTCCAGTGCGGCCAGTGATAGCTCAGAGATGAAACACGGTTGATGCTGAACAGCGGTGTGGATGCACATCAAATTGATTTGTGAGGAGCAACTGCTACGAGGACTTTCTGACTGTTCCTACCTTCGCCTGTCAAATCCAGTAAATACTAGCAAATACTTCATGGATGACGCACGATAAATCGGAATTTCTTGATCTTCAGCCTCTTGACCCAGTATAATCCAGTCCCCATCGCGAATCCCTGTTCTTCATGGGACCAACGGCGTAGCGTCAGACAAGACATAGTATTGATCTGTTCTTCGGAACGCTTAGCCAAAAAACTTCCTCACATAGGGCTTCCATTCTTTCTTGTTGGCGCTGTAGACAATGGCACTAAATGTGCTGAGCTCATAAGGAAGATAGGCAGTCTCGGCGTGAACTTGACGTGATACCAGAATCAGCCCCAGGTTAGTCTCTTTAAATGAGCCTGCACGCAAGGTCTCTCCTCTGTAGAGGTTGTAGGTGGTATTATCGAAAACGCGGCTGTATATCATATTGCGGAGTTCCGCGGGAAGACGAAGGAGCGGAGAACTTGCGGCGTTACGCTCGGTACTGCAACAAGTCGTTAGCAATCAGTTTCGCAGAAGGTTCACGACTGTGGACGAACATTCGATTGTGTACGGCCGGATGCTGAGAAGCTTCCGTTTCACGAGTTTCGAAGGTACGCTGCCCATTGGTACCTGGTGCGTCGGTGGAAGCTAGCGCAGCGCGCTTTTGAGGCGGGGTGAGAGCTTTGGAACGCGTCATTGGGGGCAATGAGGGATGTGCGAGCGTAATAGTATAAGAAGGAGGCGGATGGCCCTGAGGAGGTTGGGTGAGCGCGATAGGAGTGGACTAGCGTAGGAGAAGGGAAGGAGTAGAACAAGACTTGCTAAGGCGGCATACAGGCATATGCGCTTTCCTATCTGGGTGCCTAAGCCGCCCGCAAAGTGTAAAATAGACCAGTTATGTCGACTACGCATCAAGCAAACGACTGTTCTTGCTCCCGACTTAGACCGCTCCGAAAAGATACATACAGCGTGGCCAGCAAGTCCCACCCGCGATTCAGGAATCGAAGGGTCTATTAAACTGACTTCTCCACAGTCATTATTCCAATAGAATCCACTTCGCTCAATTATGCAACCAAGTAGGCATCAGTCCCAATCAACTTGACGCCTGAAAATCCCTTGAGGTATGAGCAAAACTCTAGATTACCCAGCACCTCGATTTGAACCTTCGATCTCCTGTCCAAGAACCCCTTGATCGCATTGCGCTTTTTCTCATAACACCAGGTGCCACTGAGGCCGATTTTGAATGTGGTGAGTTTGTATGGAAGGAGCGCGGTTTCTTGGTAAACCTGACGAGAGACATTAAGTAGTTTGAAACCGTTGTTGCCAGACAACTTCCAAACAGCATCTTGGTAAGAGTACCAGGAGCCTTCGTCCAGCTTAGCAACTCCATCGCAGAAAACGTGGTGATACACCAGGTTTCTGAGTTCGGCGGGAAGGCGGAGAAGAGGAGAGCGTATAGCATTGCGCTTGGAACTAGATTGCTAGATCAGTCACATATTGACCAATTAATTATTGCAAGAGAGGCTTACATGTTGTCGAGCCGAGTGCGTTGCCGAAGAAGCCGCTTGCGAGCCGCGGCCTTGAGACGAGCCCTGCGGCGAGCCCGGTGAAGCATCTCGATCCCAAAAGATGTTCGGAACATTGCTGGTGACGGAGCGTTATGATGGCGGATAGAAGAGTCTAAGAATTGTGGGGGTAGATGAGAGCGCGAGGGGGGTGCGCATCGAAGGGAAGGCGTAAACACAGCGGTGAGGAAGTCGCGTTGTTATGGTCGCTGAATCCAGGTAACCACTCACTCCAATTAAGGCCACCAGTGGCGGTGGTGCGTCATAATGGAAGCGTTGGTCGCATCTTTGCAGACATACGCGTCGAGTACCGCTATACCCTCGCAGAATATCTGTTCAGCTAACCTACACAGCTAATGCAGTCATTACGTCGAGACATAAGGTCACATGTAGTACACATTTTGAAGCTTCCTGCTTGTGAAGGTAAAAGAAATCAACGACCACAACGAGATGGTCTTGGAAGGCGGTGAAACACTCCTGCCTGCGTTACGTTGATTACCAGGCATTCTCCACCGCTACACACCCAAAATGAGTTTCCACAAACTAAGAAGATGTACCAGATCACTGAAAACCCCTCAAGGGAGGTTCTCATCAGGGTTACTCATCAGAGCAACTCATCACAACCCAATCTCTCGAAGAAGTACGCTCCAGTACCAATCCATGTCTCGTCAGGAAATGAGATCACCAGTCGACCAAGTGCCTCAATCTGCGCTTCTGATCGATCCTCGAGAAATACCCGCGCGTGACGAGGATAATCATCATTCTTTCCGAAATCGAACGTTGCGAACTTGTAGGGAAACAGGGCAGTCTCATGGTGGACTTGACGGGAAGTGAGGAGCAGACCCAGACAACACGGGCGCTCTGCGCGACTTATCATAAAGCGATAGTCATCGTCGTAGGGCCATACATCAAATTTGTAGACTTGATCACTGAACACGAAGGTGTAGATCGCGTTTCGGATCTCAGCGGGAAGACGGAGAAGCGGCGACTGGGTAGCGTTGAGGTTTGTTCTAATGTCGATAGTCAGTAACAGAGCCAATGGACGTAAGTAAGGGTAGTCTTACATTGAGTCGCGGTGAGCAGCATCTTGTAGAATGTGCACCTCCGCTGCGGCTTTGTGGGGACTCCCGTCGGCCATCGCGTTGCCTACGAGGACTGAACACGCTGGTGGCGGGATAGCGCTGTGAGTAAAGAATAGACGAAACTGAGAGTCGTGGCAGTGGCAGTGCGTGTGGGAGCAGTGCGGGGGTGTGATGGGGGAGTCGCGTTGGTGTTGTGGTTACTGGGTGACCGAGGTGAGTGCGAACTTCATAGCAATTGCCATTTTGAGAATGCGTTACTGCAAACGACTGCGCTGCCGCCCGAGTGGCTTATTGCCGCAGGGCTCACGACTATCACTAGCAGTGTATTGTCGCACATCGGCTGCGGCAGTGTGCACAAAGAGTAAGGAGAGTATTAAGACTGTATTGCTGAAGCCTTGCTCAGTGCATGCAATTGTTTTAAGAGACAGTACAACTACTAACACAAGCTCCACCGTCGGCGTCTTGCTGGAAACTGATCTCGAAGCCTCGGCAGATGGCTTCCGAACGGCTAAGAGAAGTACTCCTGGCAGCCCAACTCTGCAGCCCAGTACGCCGCATCTCCTGTCCACATGCCCTCCATCTTCTTGTTCCCTCGTGCTTTCTGAATCTGGATATCAAATAGTCCTCCGCCCATACAGACCTGCATCCTGCCAAGAATCTCAGCCTGCGCCATCGTTCTATCCTTCAGAAAGGACTTCATTACCATCTCCTTGGGACCGACTTTACGATAGGCGGAGGTGATAGAGACACCAAAATCGAATATTGCTAGCTTGTAAGGATGTAGGGCGGCTTCGTGGTGGGTTTGACGACAAGCTAGCAGCAGTGCCATTCCGGGGTACTTTTGGGTATGCAGATCGGTAGCATTGGGTGCAGGTCTGACACCTCCACTGAGTAGCCACTCTTCAATGTCCAACTTCGACTTCTTCTCAAGCCTGAAAATCTCATCACGGAAGACATAGACGTAGATCATGTCTCTGATCTCGGCGGGTAGACGAAGGAGGGGAGACTGGATAGCGTTAAGCTCGGTGCTAACGCATCGTCAGTAATGGCACTGGCACTGAACGATGGAGAGACTCACAGTTTGTCGAGCCGCGCACGCTTGCGTTTCTCTAGCTCTTGAGCGAAAACCACTTCTTCCCCCATGGACGCTGAAGACATTGATGGCGACCTTGTGGGTGAGCGTCGAGAGAGTGCAGTCGAAGGAGTCGAGGAGTGTGGCAGTGGAACGAGAGTGCGAGAGCAGCGCGAGAGTGAGAGAGCTAGAGCCTTTGCCAAGGCTGGGACGAGGCAGGCGCGCTGTCGTCGTTGCTGGGTGACCATGCGAGGTGAGTGCGAACTTCAAATAGGAACACCGGGGCAGCATGCATATCGTGCCGTCATACGGTTGTCTAGTTCTGTCAAGCTGTTAGCACAAATAGTAAGATGTCTCAGCACCACGTTAGCAAAGAATAGCAAGGGAGCTACATACTAGCGGTAAGTTAGCGAGATATCTTAAGAGCTATTCGTGGCGGCTACTTTACCCTTACCGCTGTATGAGTGCGCAAAGTGGAACAGGTAGCATGCTCATCGTTCACTCACTTTTAGTACTATTGATGACATCATGCGAAGCAAGAAGACTAATGAGCATGATAGTATTTGAGCCACTACATCTGCAAAGAAGCTGATGATCGAAAAAGAAACACAATGACTCTTCGGGAGAATATCACACCACAGCCATTCCGTGTGTCGCACTTTTTATCTAAGGACCAGGAATTAGGCCGCCAGAGAAGCGTTGAGCCTCAAAAGCAGCTTGTGTTTCCAGGCCTCCGCCAAGTTCGCGACCCAGAACGCCCCAGTCTCCTCCATCAGCTCGGGAAATTGAGATGCGCCATCCCGATATTCATCGAATTTCAAACGTGAGATTGCGCCAATTTGCTCCTCTGTCCTCCTCTTCAGGAATTTTTCAAGTGCGTGCAGCCATTCATAATATTCCCAGGACTCGTCCTCGCCCCGGATACCAAATGATCCAAGATTGTATGGAAGCAAAGCCGTCTCAGCGTGAACCTGACGACAAACAAGAAGTAGTTTCACATCGTGGAGTGCGTGGGAACCGGACGTGTTCTCGATCTGCATACGGACAACGCTGTCATGCGTCCAATATGCGTCGCTAAGACCGTACTCGACACCGCGGAAGACCCAACCGAAGATCATGTTCCTGATCTCACCCGGGAGGCGGAGTAGAGGGGAGTCCGTTGCGTTGGACTTGTAGCTATACGACATGATTAGTCAGACAATCACCGATCAAGGAATGTGATTCTTACATATCGTCGCGCTCAGTCTCAGAACGATGCCGGGCACGGATCCGAGCCATAGCCTCTCGAATTATACGGTTGTCATTGGCATCCCCGTCGAGCTTCTGCTTCTTAGCCAAGGTGACGGCTGAAGGCGACAGAGCGCGCTTTTTGCCGCTGTCCATGATATTGAGTATGTAGGATCTGAAGAATGGAAGTAGAGAAGTGATGGTTAGAGGTAAAGAGAGAAGGAACGAGGGAGAGCTGACGCTATTTATATATCGGTGAGGGGACGCTGCATGCTGGATACACGAGGTAAAGGCAGATTCTGATGTATGTTGACCGTTTCAAACACGGGGTCACCTCACCTTCCAGATCCAACAGCCGGCTGTAGATCGGCGATATGCACTTATGAAGTGAACAAGACGATGGAATTTGAGTTATTGCAGTAACCGGAGAGCGTACATCCGTCTCAGAGAATAGATACAGGAACACTCTCATCAAATAAGCGATTATCCGGTCTGTGAAAGCGTCGCCCGACCACCACGCGGTCCGAGAGAAGAGATATCGAAGTTTGAGCGTTCCATTGGGGTCATCTTGGCGACAGAGGCTGAGAGAACTTCCAACTTCGCAACCCAGTGTGCAGCAGTGTTTCGTTGGTACCAATAGCATTTCAACGCTTTTGACCACTCAGAGAGCTGCACGTTAGCCATCGCATCGGTCTGCTCACTCGTTCGCCTTCCCAAGAACCCTTTCATGGTCCAAAGCCCTTGGAATCCTGAAGTTTCGACCGCGAAATGGAATCTACCAAGTGAATAGGGTAGCAGAGCCATTTCAGCGTGCATCTGGCGACAGGCGAGATGCAATTTGTCCGGTGTCCGCTGCTCAAGCCATCGACCGTCGCCGGCTATTAGGCAGTATCGATCGGAGGGCTTCGTCTCAGAGCCTTCGTCAATTCCGTCAAAATCGTAATTCATGCCGGTATAGACGTGGGTGAAGATCATGTTCCTCAATTCAGCCGGGAGGCGTAAAAGAGGTGAGTTGACAGCATTGAGCGTGGTGCTAGATTCTGTTAGCTGTGTTGCACAAACAAATGCTGCATCTTACATTTGGTCTCGACGAGCTTGGTCGCGAATATCTTGAGCAGCTGCGCGACGTGATGCCCTGTCATCTCTTGCCTTTTTCGCAGACCGCGTGGTAACGGGAGGACTCGGTGGGCGCTTGCGCTTGGCCATGTTGACTTCAGGTTGTAATTTCGATGGAAAGGGGTAAGAGTGAGTAGCAGAGCTGAAGCTAATGTGTCGAGAAGATCACCCAAGCTAGGCTGACCAATCAAGATGAGAGTGACTTCTGTTCTGAGCCGGCCGTCATAAGAGCCGCAGCTTCCACATCCGGTAACCGCTTGCAAGCAGGTGACGTTACTAGATACAATCACATTACTACTTCAGGGACAGTACCGACTCATCTGAGATGCGAAAGCAGTACCGAGCTGACAGCTGCAGTCAAGGCAAGACTATGCGCTCATGCTGAGTAGAAAGATGAAGAAGTCGTACTCTTGCGGCGTCACCCCAGCTTCAGATGCTCATGCAGATGTTACGAGAAGCAAGGAGATGAATAGTATTTGAGTTTTCGCAGCAAGCGATCATGCGTAGCTGCCAATATTGCTAGGTACAAGAACACTCCCATGAAGAAGACGATTACCCACTCCGCATCACGTCCTCTTGGAATCAGATGGACCGAAGTTGGCAATGTCGAAGTGCATAGGTACTCCATCGTACATCTTGGCGTCAGAGGCGAAAACTGTTTCGTCCAACTTCGCGAGCCAGTATGCGCCAGTCCTGACCTGTGACCAGGAGCTATCACGAAGCCCTTGGAAAGGAGGATGTCCTGAACTTCGCCAGAGCATCAATTTACCAATCGCATGAAGCTGCCTAGGCGATAAGCCCCTCAAAAAGGTTCTCATCCCCACAACCGCCCGGTGAGAATACCGCCTCTGTGCTTCGAACCAGAACCAACCAAGCTTATACGGTAGTAGACTTGTTTCGGAATACATCTGGCGGCAGACAAGAAATAGATAGGCTCCCATCATTTTCTCTCTCCGATTATCCTGAAGAGGGACCAGGCGGGTGACCTTCTCACCATAAGAGGTTGCACCCTCGAGCATATACTCCGTGCCAGTATAGACGAATGCGAAGATCATGTTCCTGAGCTCTGCGGGGAGACGGAGCAGAGGTGAATTGACGGCGTTGAGTGTGGTGCTAGCACAGACTATTAGTTACAAGCCAAATAATAGGGTATAAAGACCTTACATCTTGTCGAAGTGGGCATGATAGCGTGCGATCTTCTTCTCCTTCTTCTTCTTCAACGCCTTGAGGCGAGCCCTACGGCGAGCCTTGTGGAGCATCTCGAACCCGAAAGACGTTCGGAACATGGCGATGAGGACTTGGGAGGCGACGATCGGGACGGTTAGGTGGTGTATTGGTGAGGAGGGAGAGCTCCACAGTGTAGAAGTGGAGTGGAGGAAGAAAGAAAGAGTTGGAGGAGGATGCCGTAGTTTATATATTAGAAGGGTGAAGACTACGTGCTGGGTATTCGAGGTGACCGCGGCTTCTAAATGATGCCGGTCGATGCAAAGACGCAGTCACCTCGCCTTCCAAGGGGCGCCGGCTGGTTCAAAGACGCGGTCACCTTGACTTCCGCGTTCGACAGCCATGGCTTGCTCACTAAGTATTCGAAGTGACCGCGACTCCTGACTCAGCTGGTTAATGCAAAGACGCGGTCACTTGACCTTTCAAATTGGACAGCAGGCTGCAAGCGGGCGACGCCACCGACTAACGGTATGTAACTCAAGGTAAGGCCAACATAGTCAACACATGCCGACGGGCACAGTTCCACCTGCACGGACGCCTTACAGAGAGTCGATGGCATGCCGATCTCAGCGAGGTGTTTTGCCATACACACAAATCGTATTGAGACAATACTTTTGATACGAAATTGAACATGTATTTGCAGACTTGCTAAACGCCAAAATGAGGTATCATACGAACCAAAGAGATAAGACAGCTAAGAAAATGCAAACAACTTGAACCGAAACAAGAAAGACCAAAAGACAAACATACCATCCCACGCATATCCCATGTCAAATTACCTTCCCTTCCGAACAAAACAATTTACACCCACTTTTGAAACATCACAGCACTCTCCACCTACTGGATCCTCTCATCTCGATCAGTCGCACCATAGCCCGCAGGCTTCCTAGCCCTTCCAGTAACATCACTCCACGCAGCACCAAACCTACGTCCCGTGCTAGCGAGCAGACCCTCCTCCTCTTCCTCCTCGAGATCACGATCAATCTGTTCCTGGTCGAGACTAGGCGCCTTGAACAGCGTAGTCAAGAACACAATGAGGTAAACACCCAGGAAGGCGAACTGAGCCCAGAAGAGGACGACGCCGAAGAAGGGGAAGTTGATGGTGACGCGGTTGATGAAGGTGCTGAGGACGGAGGGCGTGCAGACCTGCTGGGCAGCGGGGTTGGTGGCGAGTTCGCTGCAAGCCTTGATGAGGTCCTTGTGCTCGGTGCAATCGGGTTGTTCGTCTAGGCTGTTGGTCTTCATGTCGCAGTAGGTTTGCGGGCCCCAGGTCGCGTATTGGGGTGCGACAACCATGGCGACGGAGTAGTTGATCGCAAGGGTGATGAGCGTAAGGAGGACGGTAGCCATGAGGAGTGCCTGGGGTGAAGTATGGCCCTTGCGGATCTTGAAGATGGTGATCCAGAGGAAGCGAATACCAGCGGTTGCGATACCGACGACTGAGGCGGAGAAGAAGAAGAGAACGAGGAGGAGGAACATGACGTAGTCGATGGGGAAGACCTTGGCGGACTTGACGAGGATGTAGTTGAGCGGCTGGAAGATGTTGATGTGGCCGAGGATGTAGCCGCAGTGGGCGCCGCAGATGGAGTTCTTGGCCTTGTCGATGCCGGTGATGAGCATGCTGGCGAAGATGACGAGGGCGAAGACCATGAGGATGAGGCCGCCGATGAGCTTCAGTGGGCGGAAGAAGGCTTCGGTCTTGATCCAGGCCTTGACGATCCAATGGCGGTCCTCGCCGCTGGACTCGGCAGCCAGACGCTCACGGCGGATGAGAGTGCGCTCCTCACGGACAAGGGCTTCCAATTCGCGTCTGTCCCTGCTGTCCAGTCCGCCCTCGCTGCCTTCGTTGCGACCTTCGAGCTGTCTCTGGCGCTCGCGGTTGTTCTCCAGCTGGGACGCGGTGTTTGCGGCGAGCGTGGGGGCTGAGACGGATGGCGCGGACTTGATCATGGCTACGGGGAGGAGAGCCATGCCGGCGCCGGTGTAGAGCACGAAGAGGACCGTTCCGACGGTGATGAGGAAGCCTAGGCCGAAGGATAGAGCGCGTTCGCCATCTGATGGAGTTAGTCAGTGTCATTGAATGATTGAAGTCGCTGCTTACGGTTCTCCGAGAGAAGGTGCTTGAAGTAGTCGAGATCAAGACGCTTGTCATCCTTGGCCTGCTTCGCAAAGGGCACGAAGAAGCCGACGAGGAAGATTGCGACTACAAAGATGAGGAAGCCGAGAGTCCACTTGAGAGCACCGCCAATGCGCTGGCCAGCGGTCTGCTCGCCGTGTTCGGCTGCGTCCTCATCGTACTCCTCGTACCAGAAGTACGTAAAAGGGATGACGAGAAGGCAGAGAAGCGCATCAAGAGAGTAGAGCGTGTAGTAGACGATGCGCAGAGTGTAGACAATGCTATCGACCTTCTCCGGTGTCGCCCAATCCTTCTTGCGGCCTAGACTGGATCTCGAGGTGGATGAGACGAGAGCGACATCGACCGGAATGAGCAGGACGGTTGCGAGCAGGGCAAGAGTCGTGAAGATGCAGACGATGGTAACGGCGGCAGCGCGATCGCGCGGCTTTTGGTAGACATAGACGAATGTGGACGCGATGAGAAAGAGGATTCCCACGGCGACGGCGTAGGCGACCCAGATGAGAGAGGTCTGTATCAGCGCCATGTTGATAGCAGTTGACAGCAGTTGCTATCGCTGGAGGAGAGAAGAGGGGATTCCAGGTAGAAGCCGCCGATGTTTGGAATGACGTCTAGCGGCCAGAACCCTGCTTCGATCTTGCCCAGAACAGCTAGCATGGGTCGCACCTTCCCGGGCTGGAGCTCCAACACAACACGCTAGACAGAATCGCGCATGAGCTCTTTTGACGCGACCTCGGTCAACACCACGGATTCGCGCTGAGCTATACAAAGTACCGCCCCACCCACGCACGACTGCCATGAGAAGTGTTGCAGCGACCTTCGACCACCACCATGCAGTGCTACACTGAGATGGCCCCGCCCACCGCCGTCAGCCATGCCATCAGCCTGCCCTTCGTGCACTCTAGGTCAAACAACCTAGTCGTCGCAAAGAACTCGCTGCTCCAGATCTTCGAGCTCAAGGCCACCACGACCGAAGTCACCCCGGGCGGAGGAAACGAGTCGGAGAATGCCGCGGCCAACCTCGACACAGAGGCGGCCGACGTGCCGTTGCAGCGCACCGAGAGCACCGCCAAGCTGGTGCTGGTGGGCGAGTTCCCCCTCGCCGGCACCGTCATATCGCTGGCGCGCGTGAAAGCGCTCAACACAAAGTCAAAGGGCGAGGCGCTGCTGGTGGCGTTTCGGGATGCAAAGCTCAGTTTGGTGGAGTGGGACCCGGAGACGTACAACCTCCATACAATATCAATACACTACTATGAGAACCCAGACTTGCCCGGCATTGCCCCTTGGTCCGCTGATCTCAAAGACACGTACAACTTCTTGACGGCAGACCCCAGCAGCAGATGCGCCGCCCTCAAGTTCGGCACCCACAACCTCGCCATTCTGCCCTTTCGCCAGCGTGATCTTGTCGAAGATGACTATGATTCCGATGCTGAGGCTCCCAAGGAGACCAAGGCTGAGCAGGCGAACGGCGAGCACAAGACACCGTATTCCTCCTCCTTCGTCCTCCCACTCACCAACCTCGACCCTACCCTCACCCACCCCGTCCACCTCGCCTTTCTGCACGAGTACCGCGAACCCACCTTTGGCATAGTCGCTGCCTCGCGGGCCACCGCCCCGTCATTACTCGCCCACCGCAAAGACATCCTTACCTACTCCGTCTTCACCCTCGATCTCGAACAAAAGGCCTCCACTACGCTCCTCTCAGTCACCGGACTGCCCTACGACATTACGA